TATATATATATATATTTAAAAAATTGTAATATAATAATGTACAGTATAAAACGACAAGATTTTCCTTAACCGAACTCTTCTAGCAAAACATTCATAGTATTGTTAGAAAACGTTAAAAAATTTTATTACATTCGCAGTCTACAAACATATTCATATTTTTCTAAATTTACTGCTAACAAAATAAATTACAAATTTCACAGCGATGTATGAGCACGAGCGCATGAGCCTGGCGTGACAGCGAACTTGCCACCCAGCAAACAAGAATGGATTGAAATGGATTCAAATTTTCAATCCAATGGATTAAAATGGATTGAAATTTTTTTCTATCCGAATGCGTATTTTAAATAGCGAATACTTTTTTTGGATTCAATTGGATTCAATTGGATGCAATTGGATTGAAAAATTGTATTTCCTATTCAAAATTTTGAATTGAACAATATTCACAATGTGTTTGTGTGTTATTTGTGTTGCATAGAAAAAGCTAATATTATTAGATTGAAAGGCAGAGATATGTTCCATGCAATTCTTACAAATGAATAAAAATGTATTTAGGATTGAAAAGCATTCATTTTAACATTCGTGAATCAATATTTCTGAAAATCTGAATCCATTTCAATTCATTTCAATCCATTCTCGTTTGCTGGGATGTTGCCATATAAGCTTGGATCTAAAAATTAACTAGCAAATTCTTTGTTTTCACATACTTCAAATTCATAAAGAGCAAAAGAATTAAAAACTCACTTTCCTCGTTAAATATTATACATACGTTCGTATTCAGAATGCGTTTACAAATTATGTTAGCGCAATAACATGCTATAATTAACATTACGCATACTACAAATAGAATTTCAAAGATAAAAGCGCGTTTTAATACGGACCATAATGTACTCCATCAATTTCTATTTGATAGCATTTGTTTGAGCATTTGTAGACTCAGACATTAGGCCGCAGACTTTTGCATAACGCATAAGTGCGTTGCATAGTGCATAAAAGGATCAACCAATCAGAATCTTTCTTTTCCTTTAAGTTAATGGAAAAGAAGAGCTTTGATTGGTTGATTCTCTTATGCATTATGCGTTATGCATGAGTTTGTGCTGCGGCCTTAATAGTTCAAATACACTATTTATAAAATAAAAATATTAAAAGAGATGAATGTACATTATGTGTTTACGAATCATTATAATATATTAAATACATTATCAGAAATGTATAGGTTATGAATTTAATTTAGGCGCGAAAATCTGCATTAGCTCTGCAAGTTCGGCCTTTGAATCCGGAGTGGATCGAGCAACTTGATTGACTCTAGAAATGTTAATGGCCGCGGCAGACTCTTGCATAACATATAATAGTGCATAAGGAAATCAACTAATTGAAATCCTTCTTTTCCATGGAATAGGAGAAAAGGAAAGATTCTGATTAGTTGATTCGTTTATATGCATTATGCAAAAATCTATGCTGCAACCTTAATACCGAACGCAGATAAAATGTAGCAGAAAGATGCGAGTTGCCGAAACAATTTTCGAAGTAAAAGAGCACGGATGCCTCCAATTTGCCAAACGCACCTAAAAACTACTTAGCTGACGCAATTTCGTAAATGGAAAAAGTTGTTTCATTTAACATAAAGTATCACGTCTTGTACTTTGCGGGCGCGAATTTTGAAAATCCTTACATACTTCTAGACTATGTTCCAAAATTGACTGCGCTGAATACTATATACTACCAAATACTAGCGCTAAAAATCTACAGTTTATGTTACGTATACTATATATTTTCAGCACTGGCAGTAAATTTTGACACAGCCTTAGTATCAAGCCTAACCACTAAGGGCGCAGCGATTGGACTTGCTTCCTTTGTTTGACACGCAGCTTGCACTTCTCATTATATATGTTCTGTGATTAAGCGCGTGAATTCGAAGTAGTTCCCGTACGATTACAGAAATGAAGTATGATAAGTGGAGGTTTGGATTCGGATGAATAATCGCGCATGGGTGCATTATGAAATTAGTTCTCGAATTCATAAAATAAATTTTTTTTTATTATAATTTTATTATAATTTTATTATAATTTTGTCGTGTGTCTCTGAAATATGATGCTAATCAATAATACTTATTTTCAATAAAATTTCAATGAAACTTTAATGAAATTTTTTCCACCATTATTACGCTATTAGTGACACGACTTGTCGAATTTACTTATTGCATTAGTGACACTAGTAGTATATTTTTATGCTGACTAGATCAATTCAAGATTTTATTTCCAACTCGAAAATTAATCGAAATTGGAGCCAAAAATCGAAATCAATAGAAATTTCGAAAACTTTCGACTTTTATTTTCGACATCGAAACGACGTCTTTTCGAAAAATTATTTCTGACTGCGTCAGAATATGTGAGAATATCGATCAATGCGAATTATCGAAATATTTCGTCAGGATATGCGATTATAAAACAAACGGTCAATATTCATGCAGCAATAGATGTATATGGCGATTTCCATTCTTGTTGTGTATATATTGTCCTTGAAGCAAATAAATGAATTACATCTCAAAACTACCAACCTTGCTTGCCTTAATTATTAAAGTTTTCATCACATTATGGTCCAAATTGGCGAAATTTTCTGTTTGTGTCACAGCCGTCAAGTGATTCATGGCGAATTTAAAGCATAATTCCTCTAGTTCCTAAAAGTTATCAATGGCATTCAATAACTGAATATATATGTGTAAATAAAGAACTTAATAAATACTGAAATTAATAAAATGTTCATGTGTAACAGGAATGTTTAGCTACCTCCTCCTTGTATTTGAATGTGATGCTATACAAGAACGCGGCATTCGATATCATAATTCTTTGCTTTATCATCTGAATGCAATACTTCTTGAGATTGTTCTCACAGTAGGCATTAGCCAGAGCTAAAAGTTCTGTAAAAAAATATATTGCTTCCGAAAAATATATTGCTTCAATTGTGAGAGTACTCAGGTTGTATATAACAGCTTGTGATAAACATAACTCACCTAACGTGTTTTCCTGGGATAAATCGATCACATCCGTGTACAAATACTTCAGGAAGGCTTTGTAGACCACATAAGAAAATTGATCATGCTCGATAACACTGTCGGGAAAAAAAAAACGTCGTTGAAACGAGAAAATTTCATTTTTTACATAAATAATACTGATCCTTTATTAAATAATTACTTCTGATTGTTTTCCGCCCAATTGTGCTGAAACATAATTTTGAAGTACGTAGAACGAATTTTCAAGATAGCTTTATGCACGTGGATATATTGGCCTTCCACTTGTATCTTAAGATCACTCGTCGACTATGTCAGAAATGAAGGAAAAAGTCATTAAACAAAAATGCATATGAAATTAGCTTGATACGAATTTTTCAATTAAAGTCAAGAATAAAACGTATTATATATATATATATAGGATATATATACAGGATATATAGTCATGAAAAATGAATTTTGAAATTTGTACGAATTATAAAATTAGAGAATTCTCTGAATTTTCAAAATATTTTAGACAATAGTTGAGAATTTTTCATGATTAATATCAAACAATGTAATTTTAAATTTTAATAATATTAAGTGTAAAGATCGAAAAATATTCAATACAAATCAATGAAGAGGCCACATTCGGTCAAGGTGATCTTGGTATCTAATATTTTCGTGTAAATTTTTAAGATTTTTCAGAAGAATTTAAGAATTATTTGTAAAGCTTAGGTTTGTTCGCGTTACATGCTCTAATATATTCTAAAATATTCTTACCAAAGCATTAAAGGGTTTTTTCATGCTGATATTTGACGTTCTTATTCGGCATCAAAACAGATCACGTGATCAAAATTGCTTGCTATTTATCAATTTTGATCATGTGACCTGTTTTGACGCTGAAAATGAGCGTTGAGCATGGAAAAGTAGCCTTATTCACTCTAACGCACTTGTTGAAGTATAAGCAGGAGCTATAATAGGAGCACGTTGGAGCATGCTGGAGCATACGACGCGAACAAACCTCTGTAACGTGATCTGGAGTTTAAAGGACATTTTCATGAGCCACTCCAACCAATCATTCTAGCAACAAGAAAAATCATGTGATCAAAACTGATGCTTGAATTCATCAATTTTGACTACGTAATCCCTTTTGTCGCTGAAACTGTTGGAACGACTCGCGAAAATGTATCGACAAAAGAAAAAAATTTTAGAAATTAAGATCTTTACCATTTTTTAGTATGGCATTTGTCGTGATAATATTTGTTTATATATATATATATATGAAAGCTTTGCAAACTGAACTTACGAAATTATACTCCGAAGAGTAGTAATAGTTAATATGAACAAACAATATCGAGTTTGTAGAATTAAAGTTATTAACACAAATTTTGATTATAAAATTGTTATCCGAAAATTTATGTGAAAATGTTTATGCGATATTGATGTTGTAATATGTAAGGCTATATTAATGACTACAATCCACTTGATGCTATGAATACTTCGAATTATTTTTTGATTGATCAGTTAATAAAAATCTTTCTTCTAATCAAAAGTTTCGAAGCATTTGTAGCATCAAATTGGATCGCAACCAATGGCAGACAAATCATATGTGTTTAAATTCTATTGAATTGATAAACTCTATTAAGACCTCTTAAAGAATTATTATTTACTGAACAACTTATGTTCGTATTACATAGTCCTTGTGCTTAAAGCTTCTTTAAATTTATCTTAAGAGTCTCAGTAGCCAATGAAATAATTCATAGAGCATCTGAAGATAAATTTAAGGAAGCCTTAAATATAAGGCCTGAATATAGGCATTATGGCGAGTCTCTGAAGCCGTAGCCATTCCCTAATAGCACAAATGTTGATATGTCGACTGTAAGTTGACTTTGCTAAATCAGGCCTTTAGAGTGATTGTAAATCGACTTTACAGACGTCCTTTCAATATCGACTTTAGGACGTTTAGTGCGATTTACGCTCACAAAGCTTAAATGTGGAATCATTTCGTCCTTGTTGTTTAACTACAATTAAATAAGGGTGAATGCTGTTTATAAACGTTGTGGGTATAAATCAGACCAGTCTAAAATAGTTGACTTAAGGACGGCTTACAGTCTTTAAAGTGGGACATTGTATGACTTAGAGATATCTTCAAGTCAACTTTAGATGGCTGAGAGTCATGCTGTTAGGGTTTGTGCTGTTAGGGTTTCATTATTAATTGCGAAAATGCGAAAGCATATATATGCAAGCAAAACAAATAAATATGACAAAAAATAAAACATACAGGATCGTCGAATGCAAGTTCGAGATGTTTCAATATATTCGGCTCTTCGTTTGAATACAGGATCAGCGGTTCATGCATAACGTTCGCATAACACGCAAGAGCATTGTACACATTCGAGAATGGCGTGATGCATGGAATTGTGATGCACTTATTGCAACTTATTTTACCCCACACATAAACACGCCCATCTTGACCAACGGCGATGCTTATGAATTTGTTATGCATAGCAGCAATGTCGGACACTCTTCCCATTTGATGTTCGACCTAATGATACAATGATACAATGATGATTAATGAAATCATTAAAATCTTCAGTCTTCTTTTTTTCTATTAATTCTTTTAGACAATTAGTATAAATTTACTAAGACTGGTTTATTATAAGAGATCTGCTTGCCGCAGATTGCTAACTGGTTGTAACGATTTCCACCTCAAATATAAGTCTCCTTTGTTCGTGAGCGCTAGCGTATAATCAGTTCCACAAACTACCTTGACTGAAACAATACCGATCGCTCAGTAATCCTGTTTTGCTATTCGTCTTCTTTTCCTTTTAAAATTTTATCAAGACAATGGTTGTGTTCAGCAGAAAAAGCAGCTTTGCAACTGTTGTAAAATTCTTGAATTCGATTGTTCTTACTTTTGAGTCTGTATAAATCAATTATAATGAATTTTGCAACAGTTACAAAGCTGCTTTCTTTGTTGAACACAGCTAATAATTACCTATTACAATGCCACTCAGTGTACTAATTTGATACGGCAGTGTTTGGTTCTCACATTTGCCTATTCCTAGCTGGCCAACATTGTTATTGCCCCAACTATAAACTTCACCATTTTCAGTGACTGCCATGGTGAAGGTCGCACCGCAGGAGAAGTAGACAACTTTCTTCGTAGCTAAACTAGAGATTACTTGCGGAGGTGTATCGTTAATATAATGGTATTCTGTGGTCCGTATTCTTTTATTCCCCAAATATATACCTAAATCAAACTAGCTATTTAGCTCATAATAATAGATTATGTTTGACATTTGCTTACCTCGCCAATCTCAGTCAAAGCAACAGAATGGAAACCTCCGCATGCAATATCCACAATACGTTTCGTACCAGGACTGTTTTCCAGATTAGGTATGTTCACTAAGGTAGGCGTGACAATCTAATCATGCGTTCCATTCCCCAGTTCGCCATATTTGTTCTCACCCCAGGAATATATCTTTCGAAGACATTATTATGTCGAAAGAAAGTGATAAAAGTAGAAATTTAATAGTCAAAATGTCTTTTTGTATAAATATAAATATTTATATTATATACAACTATTCTATCTCTTTTAGCTTCTTGTTGTTAGTACTGATCGAAAATATTTAATTATTTTCATGTTATTAATAACATAAATGAATAACGTTAACAATTAATCACTAATAATGTTACTAGTATATTATCGATTAATAATGATTCGTATATATGATATTTGTATAACATCAATGACTACATTTATACAGCTCGATTTAAGCCGAATATCGATATGTTACAAAATTGGTCAATCACATTTCCATTTTCAAGAAGAATAGCTATGATTGGCCAGTTTCATAACATCCATGTTATAACTGATGTAAATCAAGCAATGTAAACAAAGTAAATAAATATGACATTGTAACAATTATGAACGTATATCATATTTATAACTATTTGCAACATCAAAACTCTTATCAAAATTTGGGGTACACTGCAGATATCCCTTAATTACACATCAGATTTTGCGTGTAATTAAGGGATAAGATCATTTATGATCATTTAGCATACTTCTCCCTCTTTTGTAAGCGCCAGAATGTTAGGTCCATTACTATATGCAAATGTCTTTATATCCTTTCCACATAGGATTTCTACTTTTTTCGGAAATAGTGTGCAGTTTGTATTTCCAATTCCCAAACAACCGGCGATGTTGTCGCCCAGACCATACACCATTTTATCTCTTGTTATAATTAAAGCTTCTTGAGCATGTCGACCTATTTCAAGCATAAGTGAACAACACTGCTAGAGTGAAAGAAGTAAAGGTCGTATCATGCAGACTACCGACTCTGCAGGCCGACCCGACTGATTTTTGACTGCTGATTCTAATTATTAATCGATCACATTTAATGTTTACCGACGATTGCTATCTCTTCTTCTTCTTCTTGGTAAATGGCCTGGCGTTTTTGGCTCCAACAGACGAAATAAGGGGCGGTGATTCCAATATGGTTGGTATCGAGTATTTCATAGTACATGGAATTCCATACACATCATTAAATGATGTGTATGGAATTCCATACACTGAATTTTATATCTGTATAATATTTGGTCGGGGAAAAATTTAGAAATTACAAACATAAAAATGCCACTGCATTGCTTGAAGGATATAATGCAATTTTTACGTGATAATCCCGAGATCAGAGATCTTATATCAAAATACGTAAAATTTATTCGCGTTCTTTTAATGATTCAACTTGTTCGAATGAAAGATCATTTTCTTTAAGACATTTAAAAAGTTATCTTCGATCGATAATGAAACAAAAACGTAAATCACATTGCGACATTATACATTTATCGAAAAATGATCGAGTAAGTTAAATATGGAGGAGGATCATTAATAATTTTATTTAAAAAAAATAAAATTAGAATGGCTACTTTTGCCATGTAGAAAAAGTATGTATCAGGAAATATATTTATCCCCCTCATTCTCCTCTTCCTCTTCTATCCTCGGGAATTCCATACACTGAAAAATTTTACTTCGTCGTCGCTGGCTAGGATCATTTCTCTTGATCTAGAAACATAATCCAATCAGCGCGAAGAAAATTTCCAACAATTGCAAAATAAACGTTCTACTGAACGTAGCTATAGACTCGAAGCTAAACATAAATTGGCCGATCAGTCAGCACCTTCGTTATAATTAGTCTTGAAAATCAGCAGCCAGAATCGGCAGTCGGATCGGCAGAATCGGTAGTCTGATACGACTTAAAGGATGCTGAAGATAGAACAAATTACCGAATACAAAAACCATATGAATTTGCGAGACAAACGCCGATTCTAGTGAACTGAGAATCGGCCATCTACATAAGTCCAAAGTAGTACACATATCATTGATGTTGCTTCACGAGATTGTCTCTTCACGAATGCTTCGCTTTATTTCTCGATTTCTCGTGAATCTCGCGAATTTAAACGATTAATGATCTTTCCTATCAGCGGTAATCAACAAACGTTCTCAACAGTCCAAAATTATCTTCTTTTGAAACCGCATAGCAGTATGTCAGTCATCAGCCACCAGCTACAACAGTAGTCAAATTCTTCAATAATGATGACCCTATAATCAATAATACTGAATCAGTAATATTGAATCAGTAATACTGATATTATATATTAATATTTTTATTAGTATTTTTATAATCTTATACGATCAGTATTATTGACAATTTATTTCACTTTAATTTTATCACCGACGAGATACTATTACAGACCAACATCCTTACGGGAATTCGCGTTCTTGTGAATATTGATTAAGAGTTAAAAACTGATAATATTGTACTAATTTTATGATTTATTAGTTTAGTAGACGTATTTATGAGACGTATTTAGTAGACGTATATTTAAAACTCAATAATACTCGATTTTTCTTTAAAATTGTGATTACAGTGTTATCGTCAAAGTTTGATTATCAACAGAGATGACAGCAGAGAAAAAATTGTAATTTTTCTGCAATATATAGGATATTATAGCTTTACAAGTATATGCATATTTATTTATGGAACATTTATGTAATAAAAAATCATCATGAATTTAATAATGTAAGAGCCAAATATTTATATTATTAATATAAATTTATATCAATTGTCGATAATGTCGTTCTTTAATTATCACCGGACGCTTTTTATACCGCCAATAATTTGTTCAGAGTTGACGGTCTTTAATAGTACATCTCGTCGGTGCATTGCTAAAATGAATATTATTATTGATTAATATCTTATTTCAGAATACACGTCATAAAATTATGATAAAAAGAAAAGAAAAAAACGTTTTCTCTGAATACGGGAACTATTTTCATAATGCTTCGAAGCGATCCATCCGGGTGTATATTCCGCCATCAACTATGCTTGACTTCTGAATCGTCGTGGAATATGGTCTATTGGATAGAAACTAATGTGCTATTCTCAATAAAAATCGAATATTATCATAGATCTAACCAGATAGCACAAAATACTAAAAAAGATAATACGTAAAATTTATTCGCGTTTTTTTAACGATTCCTACATCAACTTGTTCGAATGAAAGATCATTTTCTTATTTAAGACATTTAAAAAGTTATCTTCGATCGATAATGAAACAAAAACGTAAATCATATTGCGACATTATACATTTATCGAAAAATGATCGATAAGTTAAATATGGAGGATCATTAATAATTTAAAAAAAAATAAAATTAGAACGACTACTTTTGCCATGTAGAAAAGGTATGTGTGAGGATAATGAAAAGAGGTCTTTTTTAACTTGTCTTTCTGACAAAGCGAAAAAAATCTAAAAGATGAGGAAAAGACATTGTTTTTAGATTGTCTTTTCAACAAGATGTCTATAAGACATATTCTAAAGACAATTTAAAAAAGACATCTTTTCGTTATCTTTTAGTATTTTGTGCTGTTTGGTTAGATCTATGACTTGATAATATTCGATTTTTCTATGGTTATCATTTTCGCAAAATAAAAGTTGACTAAAAGATATCTTTTCGTTATTTTGACTTTTTATCACTTATTCGCGAGCAGTATGCGAGATCACCAGATGGACGTGATGGAGTTTAGTTTCTCGTGTTTGAAAATCATAGACAAAATAAAAGCAGCATTATGAGAAATTTACTGTTCTAATGAACTAATAAAATATTTTTTTATAATCGAGTCATAAAAGGAGATTATAATGAAAAATAATGACTCTTGCACATAAGATACGGCAAACATTGCAGGAAATGAGATGTATATTGTGCATTTTATTTCGTGCATTTTTGTGTAATAATTTAGGAATGATTCAATGTTATTGTATCATTATATTGTATCAAAATATAAAAAATAAAAGAAGTATTAAAGACGACTAAAAGATATAAGAGAAAAAAAAAGAAGTCATCCTTTAGTTATCATATGGATAAGATTGTAAGATGACTAGCAATGCGACATCTGTCGTCTTTTAGTCATTTTTTCGTCGACTAAAAGTCTTTCACTGAAAGATATTTTTATAACAATTTAGTCATTTTTAATCACCTTTTAGATGACTTTGTGCTTTCTGGAAATCCATACATATTTGTTAAGCAGATAAATATATTTCTTGATTTCGCCCTGACTAAGGCCCGAAAAACAAATACACATATCTAATTGTGACATATCGCTTCACCAATTCGTTTCTTTGCGAATGCAACAATAGGAAAGATACCAATAAGTTTTTCAATAGACAAAAAATTATTTTGAAATTGCATAATATACAATGTCCGCCAAAAGTTCCGAGCCATCTGAATAATTTCTGAATGATTCGAGATATAAGATTGAAATTTATAGAGATACAACGGGATCGTAAAATCTATCATTGAATCTCAAAAACATTCACCTTAACATTTCCGGAGGGAAGGGGGAGAAGGGGGCCTGAAAATCTTAAATGGCATGTAGAGTCGAATGAAGGCTCGTTTGGACTTTTCGGGCCGAGAACAATGTGAACTAATCGAGATCTCTACGATTTTTTTCGCAAAATTATTATCATTTGAATATTGTTATTCAGATTATAGATGAGTCAAGATGAGCACGCGCACGCGCACACGCACAAGAGATGTAACTTTTTTTTCTGAATAACAATGTTCAAAAAAAAAAAAAATGTAGAAATCTCGATTAATCCGCGTTGTTCATCTCCTTTGGAAAATCTTAAATGGTATATGTGGAGTCGAATGAAGGTTCGTTAAAAGGACTCTTCCTTTTAACGAATCTTCATTCGACTCCACATATACCATTTAAGATTTTCAAATCCTTTTCTCCCTCCTCCCTCCGGAAATGTTATGGTGGGTGTTCTTGTGTTCAATGATAGATTGTACAATTCCGTTGTATTTCTCTAAAAATTTCAATCCTATATCTCAAATCATTTAGAAATTATTCAGGCCTGGAACTTTTTGCAGGCACTGTATAAAAACTTTTATTTGTACATTATATTGGCATCGTAGCGTTATAATTTCATTAATAATCCGGTTTTCGAAATTTTGTTCATTATCAGAATTTTTTACATATATTTGGATAATTATAAAAAAAAAACAATACTTAATTTAAAATAAAGTATTGATCGACACAAAAAGCACATTTAATAAACGTAACATCATTACAAAAACGTGACTACATTTCGGATTTTTTTTAAAGACAAACAAATTTCATTTGTATTTAAAATACTAATAATTTTTCGATTAAATTTGCATGTTATACGCATGTCGTTATTTTTAGTCTACAATTGTTGGTTTAAAAGTACACAAATAATTGCAATAATTATATAAAAATGTAATGTTTGGACATTAATATTCATTTAATGAAAATTAATTTAATTACTAATCAGAAAAATATATTATAAAGAAAAGAGAAAAAGAACGAGATTCACGCGTAGGACGTCCATTAATTTTTCCGCGTATTTTATTTGCTCAGCTAGACCGATTAATTACGTTCTACATTTACAAATATATATTTTATATATATATATAACTCACACTGAAATTTTTAACAATATTTTGCAAACTATCACGCACGACTGGAAACGCGTTCACACAAAAGAAAGAATATGAGACAAAAGCTAGAGTTACCTAATAAATCAATATATACTAATGATTTAATACTTCCACTTTTCTAGTAACAGAAACTGATGATGTCTACTGTAATAACAGAAAGATCGTTTTCGAAGATATGATATTGCTATACCGATTTATCAGGCAATTCCAGCTTTAATGTATTTTTCCTGTTATCAAGTGTTTCTGTATCAGCAATTTTTTTAAATAAATGTAAAGAAAGACATGTCAAAGATAATATTTGTTAGATATTTTTAAGACTTCATATAAACGTCTTTCTAATAGATCCAAGCATATAAATTTTAAGATGTTTTATGATGTTTTATTTTCATATAAATGTCTCAATGTTCTCTTGAATAATCATACAGGTATGATATTAAATATACAATTTTCAATAAAAATTGAATATCATCAAGTCGCAAATATACATATTCTAGCAGTTATTTATTAAATAAAGATATTTACAAATAAAGATATTTCCTATATTTTTTCTTTAAGATCCGAAAAGAGTATTGAATAAAAGCAAAGAAAAACATTAATATTGTTTATTAATTAGATATAAAAAATAGAATAAAAAATTAATAAAAAAACGAAACAAAAAAAAATAAAACTTTCATTTATTTTATAAGGCATTCTTAATGATAAAAATATTAAAATTGTAATTTTGAATGAAGAGCGCATCTGTCTTTAAATTTATTTCTATTTTTTTGAATTATTTTATTTCTATTTTTTCTTGTCAGCCATAATTTTGAGTTTCTTAATATTTTATTTAATTCATATTTTGCATATTATGAAAAATTTGGCGCTTCCTAATATGAACAACATAATCTATCATTTATATACGGAAGAGATTGTAATAAAATGGTAAACGACTGTACAAGTCTTTTCTAACAGAGATTTTCCTCTTCTGCATTGAGAGTATAAATTGTTAGAAAATGTAAAAAATATTATATTCGTATATTACACACATATTTATACTTTACAATGTACACACCTAATAAATAAAATCAGTGAGAATAAAAATAAAAAATATTGCGCAGAAATCTTAAACTTTCTTGCACATTCACATTCTCTTTATCTCATAGAAGTATACCTAATGTAAAGGACCCTGCAAAACTATATAGAAAAAGTAGTTAAATTGGCCGAAATTGATATTTTGTGGATTATGAGATTTGATCAAAAGTTTCCGTGGACAAAATCTTAAAAAAATGGATAATTTTTGCTACCATTGAATCATTTGAGAACTGCTATTTTGGGATTAATCAAACTGAAAGATATCTTTATTTATTACACTA